TTACTATGTTTCATTTATCCCTGAATCATTCTATGTGCAGGATGATGATGTTGCTTGGTGGATCGACTCCGGAGCAACAAACCATGTATGCAAGGATAAACGGATGTTTGAAACATTAACTCCACTTGAAGATGGGTCGGTGCTGAAAATAGGAGACGATTCTTTTATTCCTATTTGTGGTTTAGGTGTCGTGTGTCTTGAATTTACTTCTGGAAAGACAATTAGGTTATTTGATGTTTTGTTTGTTCCCAAGATTCGCAAGAATCTTGTTAGCTCTAGTTGTTTGAATTCTGATGGTTTTAAACAAGTTATTGAGTCGGTTAAGTTTGTTTTGTCTAAGGGTGGAATGTTTATTGGCTTTGGATATTTAAATAATAGAATGTTTCGTTTGAATATTGTTGAGAAATTATTACCTGTTCAAAATTCTGCATTTGTATCTTCTGCTTCTAATGTTGATAAATCTATGCTTTGGCATGTAAGATTAGGTCATGTCAACTTTAGAAGGATGCATGAGATGTCAAAAGATGGATTAATTCCAGCCTTTGATATAACATCTGATAAATGTAAAACATGCATGCTTACAAAAGTAACAAAATAGCCCTTTCCTAGTGTCACTAGAAATTCAACTGTTTTGGAACTTGTACACAGTGACCTGTGTGATTTTCACTCCACTCCTTCTTTGGGAAATAAAAAGTATGTAGTCACCTTTATTGATGACTGCACTCGGTTTTGCTATGTGTATTTGTTACATTCTAAGGATGAAGCCTTAGATAAATTCAAAATATACAAAACCGAGGTGGAATTGCAATTGGGCATTCCGGTTAAACGTATCAGGACTGAAAAGGGAGGTGAATATGTGGATCCCATATATTTTCAATCAATGGGTATCATTCATGAGACCACGACACCTTACACATCCCAACAGAATGGTATTGCTGAACACAAAAATCGAGTTTTAAAGGAAATGGTAAACTCGATGTTATCATACTTGGGATTGAGTGAAGGATTCTGGGGAGAGGCCATGTTAACGACCTGCTATTTATTAAATAGGGTTCCAAATAACAGGAGCAAAACAGTCCCATATGAACATTGGTTCAAGAAAAAGCCGAATTTGAGTTATTTTCGGGTTTGGGGATGTCGGGCAGTTGTAAAACTCACCGAGCCCAAAAAGAAAATTTTGGGAGAACGTGGAATTGATTGCATATTCATTGGATATGCTGAACATTCCAAGGCAATATAGGTTTTATGTAATAGAACCTAATGATTCGGTTTCAATTAACATTGTTATCGAATCACGGGATGCAATTTTTGATGAGATGCGGTTTTCATCGATTCAAAGGCCTAAGGATATGAATTTTGGTGCTAATAAAGAGCAAAATCTAGAAAGTCAAGATGGTGGTATCGTGAAAGAACCACAAGAGCTTCGTAGAAGCAAAAGAGGCCAAATTGCGAAAAATTTCGGATCCGACTTCCAATTGTATTTGGTGGAAGGTTCAAGGGATGAAATTAATCTTGAATACTCTTATTTCTATAGTATTGAAGATGATCCTAAGACATATCAAGAAGCCATGGAGTCTCGTGATAGTGTCTTTTGGAAGGAAGCAACTGATGATGAAATGTCATCAATTCTTGAGAACAACACATGAGTGTTGTCTGATTTGCCTCCAGGTTCTAAACCTCTTGGTTGAAAATGGATTTTCAAAAAGAAAATGAATGTTAATGGGACTATTGACAAATTCAAAGCCCGGTTAGTCATTCAAGGTTTTAGACAAAAACCCGGTATTGACTATTTCGATACGTATGCTCCAGTTGCACGTATTTCTACTATTAGATTGTTGGTTGCCTTGGAAAGTATCCACAATCTGCTTATTCACCAAATGGATGTGAAAACAGCCTTTTTAAATGGTGATCTTGACGAGGAAGTTTATATGAAACAACCAGAAGGTTTCATTATGCCCGGTAAAGAGCATATGGTTTGTAAACTTGTCAAATCTTTGTATGGGCTGAAACAAGCGCCTAAACAATGGCATCAAACATTTGATGAGGTGATTTTGTCTTTTGGTTTCAAGACAAACCAATGTGACGAATGTGTTTATAGTAGATTTGATGATGCTACTAGAGCAAGAGTGATCATTTGCTTATATGTAGATGACATGTTGATTTTTGGTACCGACCAAAATCAAGTGGATGAAACAAAGAAATTGTTATCATCCAAGTTTTCCATGAAAGATTTAGGAAAAGCTGATGTAATTATTGGAATAAGAATTAAGAGGATGAACAAAGGTTTGGTGATGACTCAAAGTCATTACATTGAGAAAATTCTCAAGCGGTTTAATTTTACCGATTGTTCTCCTGTGAGTACTCCTATGGATCCAAGTGTGAAACTAATGCCAAATAATGGTGTTCCCATTTCACAGTTGGAATACTCTAAGGCCATTGGTAGCTTGATGTATGCCATGACAAGTACCAGACCTGATATTGCTTTTGTTGTGGGTAAGTTGAGCAGGTATACTAGTAATCCTAGTGCTCAACATTGGCAAGCAGTGAATAGAGTGTTCAAGTATCTCAAGGGAACCATGGATTATGGCTTGAGTTATTTGGGAAGTCCTTTGGTTTTAGAAGGTCATTCGGATGAAAGTTGGATAACCAACATGGAGGACCATTCCTCAACTTCTGGTTGGGTATTCTTGCTTTGGGGAGGTGCCATTTCTTGGGCTTCCAAGAAGCAATCTTGCATTACAGAATCAACAATGGAATCTGAGTTTGTTGCGTTAGCAACTGCTGGTAAAGAAGCATTGTGGCTAAGGAATTTAGTCTATAAGATTCCTTTGTGGTCTAAACTGATAGCACCTATTTCTATCCTTTGTGATAGTGCTGTTGCTTTGGCTAAGGCATATAGCCAGGTTTATAATGGTAAGTCTAGACACCTAGGTGTTAGACATAGTATGATTAGAGAACTAATCATGAATGGTGTGATTTCGGTTGAGTTTGTGATATCGCAACAAAATTTGGCAGATCACTTAACTAAAGGTCTGACAAGAGACTTAGTGCACAAGTCTGTAATCGGGATGGGATTAAAGTCCATTTAATTCTGTAATGATGAGACGCCCAATTCCCTCCTAATATAATGTTAGGATTTGAATTCAATATGGAAAGCTCATACTTATAGATTGGAACACATGAAGTATTCATCCCAGGTATGTGTTCGGTTCTGCAAGTTAGCCAGGTTGAAGTTTAACTTCTTAATAATTCCTTTGATAAGTGTATGTGCAGATACATGGAAATGAGTTACCTACGTGATTGTGATGTGTAGCCACATTTCAAGAGGTTGTGGACTTGACCTTGATATGATCATGAGAGGATTGGGACACACGACTTTATAATAGTGTCAAGTTGTATTTTGCTAGAAATTCAATAAACTAGTATGTATTTTACTTTCTGGTATTCAAATGGGTTGATGGGTTCAATTCTTAGAACACCCTGATTCTCGAGTATTTGCAAATGTATGATACTAAGTGGAAATTCAATCGTTTCGATATTTTCATTATGTACTAGTTTGGTTTGTTTGATAAGGTTATGTTTGTTCAAGGGTTACACTAAAATGGGGGAGGATTGTTGGTGATTTTAGTGTCACCATGTCATTTTAAGTAACTAGAACTAACATGTGAGCTAAAGGGCTTCATAATTTGTACTCTAATATATGTGTGGGGTTGTGCGGAGTGCACACATGTATAAGATCGAATTAGAAGCCGGTTCGACAACTAGTCGGGGTCCGGGGGCAGCGCCCCTTTGGCGGGGTCTAGGGGGCAGCACCCCTAGCGGGGTCCAAGGGGTAGAGCCCCTGGCTGGGGTCTCGCATTTTACATATGGGAACATAGTGGAAAATTCAATTTCTTTAGGGTGATTATGGTAAAACTAACGAAACTCGTTAGTTTTGGTAACCCTAAATCCTCATTAAATCCGGATTATCCTGACTTGCTTCCAAAGCAACTAATGATGGCCCAACCCTAATGAAACCCTAATCTCGTTTAATATATAAACGATTCTTCCTCTTCAGAAGAAGGTTACGAATTTGAGCTCTCGTTTTCATCAAACTCTCACAAAATTTCTCTAGCAAATTGGCTTATGATTTCTGTGCCTAGAATCGTAAGTGTCCACTTGGATTATCCTAGGCTGAATTTCTTGCAACTCAGGCATAAGGTAGAAATACCAGTTCGAAAAGTGTACTCACGATCCAAGTTGGTATCCAGATCTCTACCACAAACCCTATAATTTCCTACAAAGACTATAATGTGGATTGTAGCATTATTTCTTTTAATTGAGTTTCGAAAGATTGTTATATTGAATGGTTTGTACCTATCTACATATGGTATAGGAATAACCTATTATTTATGTTTAGAAAATTTGCATTAGATTTTTTATATTTGGTGTATGTTTAATCAGGTTTTTGTGAATTTAATATAAAAAATGTGGGCTTTTATTTATTTATTTATTTGTATTAATAGAATTGCTATTTCTGACGGTTAGCGACGAAAATCTGCTAGTAAACATATTATATAATTTGTCGCTAAGCTGTTATGCTATTCCATTGGTATTCCGTTACTGAAGGATTCCGTTGGTAACCGAGAGAATCTGTTGGTAACCCGTTACTAATTACTGACGGAAAAATCTGTCGCTAAAAATTTGTCATGGCCGTCGGAAAGTCATTGCAAACATGTAGCGACAAGAATATAACGCCAGATTTGGTTCCGTTGCAATTTCGTTGGTAAAACCCATCACCGACAGATTACCGACGGTTTAGGCCATCGGTAATGCCCTTTTTTGTTGTAGTGGGAGGACGACGCTGGAGGAGGAGGCCTTTGAGGAGGAAGCGATTTTTTAGTCAACTCCTTTTTTGATGCGAAGGAGTACGACATATTTTGGAAGAAGGGCAAAGAAAAGATTTTTCTCAGTCAACTCTTTTTTCCATCTTCAAATAAAGTATTTTCTACGATAGCACCATGAATAGGGCATCGCAAAGCATCGCCCAATACACCAGCAACTCCCATCATATGAATAGGGCAAAAGATTATGTTATGAAATCCTTGAAAAAAGAGGATAAATCGAAATATAGCTGCTACACCAAAACTAGGCGCAAAGAACCAACATATCGAATCACTACTACTATTGTGGATCAGGTTAGAGATGTGGACCGGATAAGATAGCGAAACAAACAACCTCACCGAACCGTCAGACAAAAACCTGTTACGGACCGGTCAACATAATCAGTCAGACAAAAACCTGTTACGGACCGGTCAACATAATCAAACAGGCCTTTAGTTGAACTAATAGTTGATCAAGGGGCTTCAATTTTGTGTCACCGGTTATATAGTTATTATATAACCGGTTTACTTTGAATACCAAAATAGGGGCTAACGTTATTATGCGGCAAAATTAGAACACCGTGGAATAAGAGTTCTTTCAAGTTTAAAAAACCTCAATGCCTTATGACCTTATCTATAAAAAGTCAACAGATCAACTAAAAAAAGAACAAAGAAAATAAAATAAAGCCATTGGTCAAGTCTAAGGAATCTCATCAACCGCCGCCGCTCTGCGGCAGTGATCGCACAGATTTTTGCTGTCACCACCTCTCGCGGTATATCTCCCTCACTCTCTCACAGTCTTATTCTGTAGATATCTCGCCGATTTTCACCCGTGTTAATTTTGTTATGGTTCTTGTAAAAAATCGATAAACGCAGCAAGTAAAGAAAACATTTGTCACCAAGAACAACGTAATATTGTCCTTAAAATCCATCTTTATTGTTGAAAACGTAGAAATTTAACGTGTAAACCAATCAGTTGAATATTTTATCACCAAAAAGCAAAACTAATATTGGGTTGGGACTACCCTAAAAACTGATCTGGCAAATTGATGTCAAAAACCCTAAATTTGGGACTTAACAAACATCGATCCCCAAAGAAAAGCTAAAAAGCAGCCAAAATCGATATGTTTAGTTTAAAATGTGTTAAATCTTTTTTTTTTTTTTTTTTTTTTTGGGTTTGTTGAAAATCAATATATGTAAGTTAAAAATGTGTTAATTGTTTTGCAGCTCTTAACAGAAAATTTCCAAATGTTAAGGAAAAAAGTAGACATGAAATCGACTATGGAGAACCTCCCAGGCGAAGTTTTATCAAACATTTTCATCCGATTATTGGCCAAACAACTTTCTCAAATGAGGTGCGCATGTAAATCTTGGAATGCTCTCTTATCCGAATCCTCCTTCATAAAATCCCACCTCCATCACTCTATCCATCACAACGATGAGATTCTCTTGTTCTTCAGCCGAGTATTTTCTTTTAACAATAGTCAATTCATAGCAAACCCCTTTCCATTCACAGCACACCCATCTCGTTCTCCTGATCTCAAACTCAATCTGAGTAATTTCTTCAAACTCCCGGTTAAACCCAAATCTGAATATAGTCATGGCAATGTCATTGGATCTATAAATGGCTTGATATGCTTTAATTACGGACCATTTTCTTTGCCCACCCGTGATTATGCAATTTACGTTTGGAACCCTTCTCTATCGGCGGTGTTAACTCTCCCCCCATGTCCTCTTCCCTCGGGTGATTCTAAGACAAAAACCAATTTTCGGTTTGGGTATGATCCCAAAACTGATGATTACAAAGTTGTTAAGCTTACAAGCATTGTACCACAAGTTGCGGTTTATAGCATGAGAAAGGGTTCATGGGACTTAATTACTCAAAGGTTTCCGTTGAATATGAGAATAATTATGCGTAAACCCGAAGTTTGTGTAGATGGCCATAACGGCCGACTTCATTGGCTTTGTTATACTAAATTTAAGCGGAAGTTAGAAAGGATAGTGGCATTTGATTTGGGTGCAGAGACGTTCAGTGTGATACCTCTTCCAGATTCTATACTACAACACAATGATCAACACAGGTGGAATGTATTTGGTGTTTTAGCCGGAAAGCTTTGTGTGATGTCAAGGGTTAGAGATGGTGATTGTGAGGTGTGGGTGATGGATGATTATGGGGTGGCTGAATCATGGGTCAAACGTCATGTATTTTCCCAGTCTAGTGGTGCTATTTATCCATATGGATTCACATTACACAATGAATTCCTTTTTCAAGTCGACATTGATCGTTTTGCTTTGTATGATCCAATTGCAGCCAAGCCTAAAAACTTTGAAAATCCGTGTCCTCTAAATGTCGTAGATAAAGTTGTGCAGTATGTTGACAGTCTTGTTTGGGTAGTACCTGCTGAGCGTGAGGTGAGCTGCTACAGCATCTCTCAATTTCCAATTTGAAGGCAACACATCAGATCTACTTTTTCCGTTTTTGATATATCTACTCTCCGTGATTCTATATTTCTTGATTAGTTTCCTGTCTAGTATCATTTTTTAGTGCATTACATCTACAGCGACTCTTGTCACCATGATGCATTTATGGTTTGTTTTTTGGTTCATATTTAAATTCAGGTGGTCGTTTTTTATGGTTTGTTTCTATTACTATTTCTCAAAAGCATTGAACTAATGTCTTGCTTTATTGTTATTCAAGGAATTTGTTTCCATTATTTGATTTAACTAGGTGTGAGACCCATCTATTAAATGAGTTTATAAAAAAAAAGTTAGTATAAAATTATAAGCATTACATATTTTTTAAAGTAATAATTTTACATAAATAAAAAGAATATAATAAATAAAGTAAGTAATTTAATATATAATGTAAGATATTTGAAAGGTTGTAGAGCATTTATTATGAAATTTAATAGAATGATCTACTTTACATATATAAATCTCACTAAAATGTGGATTTTAAATTTAAAAAATGAAAAATATAAGAAAATGACAAGTGGAAAAAAAAATAATTCAAAAAGTCTTAGAAATTGATATGTGTCAAATTCAATGAGAACATGACATTTGACAAAATTGATTTTGATTTATCAGGTTAGATTTTAGTTGGCTCAAGACTAATGAAAGATATATTAGTTTACTATTTGGTGATGAGTATAATATTGTTTATTGATCTTAGTTAAATACAAGCTTAGATGATAAGAAGTGTATCTTGTAAAAATGATAAGGGTGCATTTGTTTGTGGAAATTTGTTTTCATTTTTCTAGAAAATTTTTTCAGAAAACAAAATTGAGTTTTCATTTTGAATTTTTAATGGAAATTTTAGAAAACGCGTTTTGTGGAAACCGGTAGATTTTTCTTTTTCCATTTTAGAAATTTAGAAAACTTTGAAAAATTGTAAAAATCACTTTTCTAATTTACATACAATGTGGTAGGTGTTAGAGTAATACGATCTTGGAGTGTGGAGGTAAAGTCTTTAGATTGGATTTTGTATATATGTGGAGCTATAATTTATAATTATTCTAATAGCACCATGGATTTTTGCTCAATTGTATGTTTCCAAATTTCTTTTTGTGTTCTGATGTAATTCTTACTCATTTCTATTGCTTATTTGATCATGATTGCTATATATTGTTTCTAAAGGGATTATATTTGCTAATTTTAGTTAGAACACAAAATAATAATATTTCTTTTTAGGGTTTTATGGTATTTCTTCTTGACTCGACTTTATCAGAAGCTCTAATTTTAGTTAGATGCCCGATGCCGAACTTTGGTCCGATGCCGGGCGAGTCCCGATGCTGGGCGGGGCCCGATGCCGGACTACGGTCTGATGCCGGGAGGGCCCGATGTAGCGGGAAAGGCCCAATATATGTTATTATGTGATTATGTTTATGGTATGTGGTAGTTTGGGGAGACTCACTAAGCTTCGTGCTTACAGTTTTCAGTTTTGGTTTCAGGTACTTCCGGTAACAAGGGGAAGAGCTCGGGATGATTGCAGTGCACACATCATTTGTTTAGCCTGGGATGTTTATACTCTGATATATTTTGACAGATGTTATGATATTTTGAGATACACTACTTATGATTTTTATATGATGTTTGATAAAATATGGATTACTTAATGATTTAAAATGAAATTTTTGGACTGTATTTTTGGGTCGTTTCAAGTTGGTATCAGAGCCTTGGTTTGAGGGATTCCGGCACACTCTCAGGTGTGTCTGAACTCAAACTGAGGACTTGGTATAAAAAGAATATTGAAAACAGAAAAGAATTTTGAAAAGAGAAAAAGAATTTTGAAAAGAGAAAAGGGTGTGGTGCATGCAATCAGCTGAGCTCAAGTAAGTACTCTGAAATTACCCATACAAGTTTATGTTATGATATGTTTATGAGAACTGCATGCTATATTAGGGATAAGGATCTAGGAAGGATGCCTTATGTTCCTGTTATATGTGTATGAGCTTTATGAACTGCATGCTAGTACATATTAGTCAGTGATATGATGGCCTGATTAGGATATGCTTGATTATGTTTACTCAATGCTCGAATGCTGCTTGCTTTGTGCTTTTAGGAGTCCTAGTTATCTTTAACTAACTAGTAAACGAATATGTTAAGTTACATATTACAAGGACTGAATAATTTCAGAAGGTTAGGTTTAGCTCTACTTCGCAGCTCTCGTTTGAGTCTAACCGTTGTAGGTAGGACCTCTCATTCGAAGAATTATCTGGTCTTAGTGATATGTAATGGTATTCGCGAGCTAGTTAGGGGGAGATATCAGGGACTTCTTATGCAGCTAATGGAGGAGAGTGGGGCGGAGGTTACCCTAGGGCAAGCCGAGGATGAGATTAGCGCGTGAAGCAGTAGTAGTAGAAGGGACTTGGTGGAGTCAAGGCAGTTCTTGAGGAAAGTACGGATAGATGTGGAAGGTAGTATGGGCCCGTACTACTGAAAGCAGAGGACCCGTACTCGAATCAAGTAAAGCTGAGATAAAACCAGGGAACTTGTAGTGTGTGTGATCCCTTGATTTATGATGAGTATTCTGATGATTGTTATGGTATATTTTCGAGTATGGTGACGCTACGTGGTAGTCCAGATGGTAGTTCTGGTGCCGGAAAGGGATCAGGCTCGGACTCTGGGGCCGGGCACTTCGATGATCAGATAAGGGAGTTCATTCCATCTGAGATTACGCGCAATATCATTGACCAGACTCCTGTGATCTTCAGTACGGTCAAGGAGGGCATTGTGGAGATTTGTGATGAGAGGCTGGGTGCATTCCGCACTGAGATAGCCGCCATGATAGGGACGCTTACATTGACGTTCGGGAGTTCAGAGCTTGTGAAGCTCCAGATTATCATGGGGGTTAGGGACCCCATTGCTAGCAGCAGATGGTTGGCAGATGTCGCCAACGCTTTTAGTACCAGCTGTTGTCTCGAAGGGGACAGGGTCCGACTTGCTTCCTGCCTCCTGAGGGACAGGGCACATGATTGGTGGGAAGAGGTTGGTAGTGAGTTGGGTGATGAAGCGGTTGATGCTATGTCATGGGATGGATTTTCGGCCAGATTCCGGGCAGAGTTTACCTAGGCGATTGAGGCATAGCAGTTGGCGCGAGAGTTTCTAGATCTTCGCCAGACTACTGAGACTGTGGCAGAGATTATTGCCAAGTCTCGGGAGAGGGCTTATTTGGTACCACAATATGCAACAGATGAAGAAATGAAGAAGGTAAAGTATCATGACATACTATAGAATGATATAAGAGAGATCGTGAGTATCTCGGGGTGCAAGACCCGGAATGATATGATTTCTAGAGCCCGAGAACAGGATACTGACTTGGAGCACATTGCGAAGAGGGAACAGAATCAGTTGCATAAATTGGAGAATCTCGGGAAGAGACCCAAGATGTCAGATTAGTTTTTGAGATGCCATCAGGGCCGAATTCAGTGCAGCACGTGCGGGAAACTGCACGTTGGAGTCTTTCGTTCCAAGGGTTTGAGTAAGTGTATCTCTGGGTTTATTCTCTGTCTGTGTTTGAACTATATTTTCAAGAGGTTTATATTCCATTTGCATGCCGAAAATTATTAGTGGGTAGCTAAAGGTCATTTCCTTAATTACGGGTTGGGAGTGTGCAGTGTTATCTTGGTTTAAGGTCGAGATCGGTTTAGGGCCATTATGTGGAATGTCTGCGGTCAGGGTTCAGCAGGATGGTTATCCACCCTCGACAGGTTTCGGTGGGTTCAATTATTGTGTTCAGATTGACTCATGGGGTCCCCAAGGGAAGTGGTCTATTACTGAAGTTTTGCTTTGAGCATCGGTTAATTAGACTCCAAGATTTGAGTATGGTATCATTTGACGACATCTGGAGTTATCAGTATTGTTGGGATTTCTTCAAATTTCATGTATTGTTAAGATTTAGTCGAATCTAAGTGGGGGAGAATCGTTCAGGGATTCAGAAGCAGGATCATTTTTGAAACTGGGATAAGTTTCGCATCCTTGTCAGGAAGGAAGACAGCCCAAGCGGCTGTATGGATTGAGGATAGTGTGAGTTGGAAGTTCGGAAAACTTGCCAATGATGAGATCGTGTTCTCGGAATGTTTGATAGCAGGCCTTAGGGAACCAGGTTGAAGATTCCAGTCAAGACATGAGTTCAGTTGGGATGTTAGATCGTGTGTGTGCTCGACGTCGGATGTGTTCGGATTTGTAATCAATGATTGAAACAGCGTGGAAAGTGTTGTGAGACTGCGGGATAGCCGTATCATTCACTAGCGGTCAGATAGTGTGGAAAGTGTTGTAAGACTACGGGATAGCCGTATCATTCACTAGCAGCCAGATAGCATGAGAAAGTGTTGTAAGTTTGCAGGTGTAGCTGTAGCATTCACAAGGTTGACAGATAGTGTTAAAGTGTTGTAAGTCTGCGGGTATAGCTGTAGCATTCACAAGGTTGACAAATAGTGTTAGAGTGTTGTAAGTCTGCGGGTGCAGCCGTAGCATTCACAAGGTTGGCAGATAGTGCTAGAGTGTTGAAAGTCTGCGGGTGTATCCGTAGCATTCACAAGGTTGACAGATAGTGCTAGAGTGTTGTGAGACTGCGGGTGTAGCTGTAGCATTCACTAGGTTGGAAGATAGCATGAGCGTGTTGTTAGATCGCGGAAGGAACAGTAGCACCCACCAGTTCGGGTGCAACAGTGAGGGCGTGGCAAATCCGCAGATTGGTCTACGGATTTCCTAGATGAATCAGACCTGGTTGAGCCAGCGATACGACCGTAGGAACATCACTGCAGTCATGGGATCAAGGAAGTGATGGACCGTTTAAGGTCGTTTGTGATGGGATTTATACAAAAGAACATCCTATGTGCTCATGCAAAACCTAAAGCTTGGATCTAAGTTTCTCTATTGTACATGCGATTCATCCAAGACTTAAGAACCCTAGATCTGGCATACATATTTTGAAATTAACATAAGAAAACAGATCTAGATGATTACCTCTTCAACAATGGCTTGAATCTTCTTGTCTTGGAGCTTAGAGTCACTAATGTCACTCCTCTAATGGCTTACAAACACCACACAAGCAACAGGATGATATTGGAGAGAGGGGAGAGGCA